CAATTATACCTTTTACAGACAATAGTGGCTTAGAGCCAAATGATAAGCATTCCCATGTTATGGCCATATGGCTATGATAGATAACAGGAGGCATCATATGCCTGCACTCTAAACTCGCTGAGTCATTCTGGATGTTTTCCTCAGCCTATCCTTGACCAAAGCACAGCTGTGGTTCCTTACGCTGTGTCTTCAAGTTTCTTAACCAAAATTGCATGCGACACTCAAAGCTCCTTTATAAACTAATGTTAACACTGTCCTCTCCACTAGAATATCTTCTTTTAAATGAAAGTACAGTTTCATTTAAAGTATGATTTCCTTCTTTAAATGTTTCCTAATTCTCTAGTTGAAATCCTTCCCTTCATATTGCCACAGGCTTTTATCAATTCCTCCTCCATGAAATGTAACAGTTTCTACCTTGATATTTTGAGTTCTATCAAGATACTTTTCAGTAAAGTGAAAATAAGTCAAACTTAAGGAAACAGAGGGTGAAATTTGGGACCTGATTAAAGGCTCTTTGGAACAGTCCCCTGGCAATGGTTCTCAGTCTTGTGTGCATACTGAAATCCCCTGGGCAACTTCAAAAACTATCAATGCCTGAGTCTCAGCCCAGAGGTCATGAATGCAACCTGAATATTGAAACTTGGAAAAGCTTAAGTGATTCTGATGTGCAGTCAAGGCTTTGAAGTACTGCTCTATGGGGAATATAATAAAAGGGAGTAAGAGGCCAGACACAGTGGCTCACGCCTGTAATACTAGCACTTTGGGAGGCTGAGGCGGGCAGATTGCCTGAGCTCAGGTGTTCAAGACCAGCCTGGGCAACATGGCCAAACTCAATCGCTACTAAAAATACAAAAAGAATGTAGGCGTGTTGGTGTGTGCCTGTAATCAGCTACTTGGGAGGCTGAGGCAGGAAAATCACTTGAACCCAAGAGGTGGAATTTACAGTGAGCCAAGATCACACCACTGCTCTCCCTAACTGGGTGACAGAGCAAGGGCTCTGTCTTCACCAAAAAAAAAAAAAAAAAAAAAAAAAAGCAGCAATTACTAAAGGCATTTTTTAAACAGAAACAAAGATCTGGTTGACATCAGATAATAATAAATATTACAACTTGAGTTATAGTGGGCTGTTTAGAAGTATCAAAAGCAGATGTAGGAGTGATTCGGGGTAGGCAAATGATATTGTAGGAAAGTGTAGGAGGCAAAGAATTTCGTGGCACTTGGTGAAACTAAAATGACTTACAATTGGTTCTAGCCTGAAGTTGAAAAAGAAGAGAGAGACTGGGAAGAAAGGGAGAACAGTAAGGGAAACTGCTTGGAATGAGAACCAAGAAAAAGTCTGAAGAAGTGGTGGAGATCAACAGTCAAGCAAATGCAGAGAGAATTCTGAAAAAGATGCTGTAAGTTGTGAAGTTTTCAAAGATGACAGAACAAGATGTATGGCAACAATGGTGTGTTGCTAAACTGGACATTTGTAGAGGAGTTTTGAAATCAGAGTCACCCTGCTCATCAACGGTGTTGAAAAATATGCATGGCAGCATGTAAAAATCATCCACAGACACAGCAACTTGGAGATCTGATAAAGATGCCACCATAATTACAAAGAGAGGGGTTAGAAGCAGTGGTGTGGCTATGAAAAGGGGAGGTAACAAATTGTGGTAGAATAACATTCATTGGTAGGAAAGAAACCATCCTTTTTCTAAAGTACACTCCCTTCCCCCAACTTGTAAAACCAAGTATGTATTTAAAGATATTTCTGTGCTGGTAAAAGTATTAATTTATAATCTTTATTTTTCATCTCTAAGAACTAAACATTAAAAAATACAGTAAGTACAAAGCCAAAAAAAAATTTATATTTAAAATACAAAAACAGGTGCTCATAGTAAATGATGGTGTGGGAGGATGGAACTGGCGTGAGGACCCCTTCACAGTACCAGCATGTTAAGACTTTCTCTGCTTGTTTCAGTGCCTTCCCAAATGCTGATCTTTCCCCCACTTGATACCAGCATGCTGCTTTAAAACCCGATGAGTGTGTTGAAGGAGTTTAAATCTCATTAGAAAAGCCAAATCCCTGGCTTACTAAATCTTTGAAGGGCTCACACTAGTGCAAAAAAAAAAGAGCTGACTAACATTCTCTACAGGAGAATTGCATTATAGTAATTCTATAGCAAGAGATACGGATATTATCAATGTAGTATGTCCTATAACAAGAGGTACTGCATAGATGGAGTATGTCATTTTACCTATGGCACCACCCAAAAAGAGTTGAAGTGCTTTAGAATATTTTTCACTGTAGTAAAATATTAAACCTAATTTATCTGAGGAGTGATGAAAAAAGCAAGCTTAATTCATATAAGGAACATCAACTCACTACTGTAATTCACCTTATTAGTCCCATGTCATTATGACAAGATATGTTTGCATCACTAGGTACTAGAGAAAATGGTGTATAGCCCACAGAATAGGTGAAAATCTGTTATAAGGAATAACATTTGATGTAGCAGTGCTATTTCCAAGTTCTATTTAGTAAACCCAGAGTAAAAGAGGTTTATTGATCTGTTTACAACATTCTAAACACTTAAGATTAAAACTGTTTTGTTCTAATATAAAAGAAACAGCTATGTAAAGCACTTAGTCCACTACCTGGCACATGGTAGCCACTCAGCAGACAGTTCCCATTTTCACTGACTTGACCCTTCCCCTCCCACTCCAAATACAGATTCTAACCACCCTTTAAAAAACAACCATAGAAAATTATCAGATCAAAAAAGCACACAGTGTTAAATGTTAAATGTTCACATTAACAAAGGTTATATTAGAGAAGTATGCACATGCCAAGTTCTTACACATGGGGGTAACTCAGATCTAAGACTGACAATGATGAACAAAGTAAAATGAGGAGAAAAAAGAAAAGGAAAAACCAGTGAGGATATGGAGGGAGAATGAAGAACACAATGGCACTATCAGCGTGAATAGCAAACACATTCCTGAAGTGCCAGGTGTCATGATACAAATATCCCACATAACAGTACACAGAGCTGCAGTGACCCTGGAACTCCAGGTTCAGGGACTGCCAACACTACAGATTCATTGTCATAGCTTCAGTGATTTTCCTGGGCAAATGACAGAAATCACTTTAGCCACCCCACCCCCATCAGCTGCTAACCTCTAGTGGCAGAAACATTAACAGTGACCAAAGAATGACAATTTATCCTGATTAGGTACTGATACTTTTAGGAGCAGTGCCCTCTCTCTTCAGTGTGGTCCCTCATCCATCAGGAAATGACATTATTCTCCCAGGGAAAGCTCAAAATAACACTTAAAATAGTGTTCCTGCTAAATCCTCCAGTTGCCCTGGTGCTATGCAGTTCCTTTAAAGAACAGTTTTTCACTTTGGGAGGCCAAGGTGGGTGGATCACGAGGTCAAGAGATCGAGACCATCCTGGTCAACATGGTGAAACCCCGTCTCTACTAAAAATACAAAAAATTAGCTGGGCATGGTGGCACGTGCCTGTAATCCCAGCTACTCAGGAGGCTGAGGCAGGAGAATTGCCTGAACCCAGGAGGCGGAGGTTGCGGTGAGCCGAGATCACGCCATTGCACTCAAGCCTGGGTAACAAGAGCGAAACTCTGTCTCAAAAAAAAAAAAAAAAAAAAAAGAACAGCTCTTGTGATTAACACAGTCAAACATCTCTAAAGTTGCATGTAAAAAAGCCTTTATGTACCAAACAAGGCATGCCTCACACCTGGTCATTGGTCCAGCTTTTGCCCTGATTCTTCCTGGCCTTAGATTAGTGCCTCTCCTCCTTTAGTCTTCCACGGGGAGGCAGTTATAGCCAACTACTGCCCTTCTACCCGTGTCTCTGAATTCCACTATTGTTAATACTACGCAACTCACAAAATTCCTCTTCACTAGGTCTCCCTCCAAGTTTGCCCAATAACTCAAATCCCATTGTTAGTCTTAGAGAGTTCAAAGCTGCTCATTAAAATTATGCATGTTGACCTATAATAATAAATTCTGGGCTACAATTATAATATTTTTTCAAAGTAATTTAGAGTGAAAATTTTCAGAATTTTCTGTTTTGCATAATTGGGAAAAACCGCCAAGTGTTTCAGATTATCACATAATAGTTGTATTACAACAAATATTTATCATTATTTCTTCCCCTATTAACTCATTCATTCAAAAATAGTTGAGTACCAGGTATTCTGCTGGACCCTGAGAATACAGTGAACGAAAGAAAAATGATCACAAGACATTATAGCAATAATTTCTATACTGTACTACTTATCTCCAGAATTATCTGGCATAAACATTTTACTTAATAAAAAAAAAAATTGGGGAGTGGGAGAAACACATGGGAAGTAAATATGCCATGACTAAGTATCAAATGAATTCAAATGAGTATCTATGTTTTATGAACATGTTAACAATTATTATATGTAACACTGAAATACCTGCTGTTCACTTAAAGAACATCAGTATTTTAAAATTTCGCTATACAGATACATATCACAAAAAAATGTACTAATTGCTTGAACAAAACTGTTTATCAACAGTAATAAAATTTTATAAAATGTTCATGCCAGGACTAAAAAAAAAATAGCACAATGACTTTACAACTAAGACATACTATAAACATATTATCAAAAGATAATTTTTACTCTTCCTAGCACATAAAAGATAATTTATGGTTTTCAAACTTAATTTTTTCTGTATTAGAACAAACATACAAGTATATCCATAATTTTCTTACCAAAATAGAGCCCAATATACATACAGAAAATAATTAGGAAAATAAGTTTGTCCTCAGCTTTAACATGGATGTGTACATATAAATATGTACATTCACAAGAATAACATATACTTAGCAAAGGTCCAAAATTAAACTAAAAAAATCCTGCTAGGAATTTTTTTCTGTCTTTGAGGCTTGACAAAGGATGCAGAAAATTACTGAAGTAACAAAAAAAAAGGAGACAAAAAACATTTCAAACAGACAAACTGCTTGTCAGTATTAGGACCTGATTTGACATACAGGTTTAATCCACTTCCTCAAAAGTCATGCCATCAAGGTGAAGGATGAACATCTTCCACTACTAAATGAGGCTGGCTGTCATTATTCTGAGAAGCAGGATTTACCTCCACATGGATTACTTTATCTGAGGTTCCTGCAGGAGAAACTTCATTATTTGTCTCCTCTTCACTAGGTGATAAGGTTTCAGGCAGTTCATTTGACATTAGAAATTGCAAAGGTTCTGTTCTATTTTCAGCATCCACTTGAATCCCCAAAGCTTTAAGAATATCACATTTGCAAACAGGGCATGTCCCATGGGGTAAAATCCAGGGGTCAATGCAATTCTTGTGGAAAAAATGTTTACAAGTCAGAATACGAACTATGTCATTAGGCTTATAGAATTCAAAGCAAATGATGCAGCGATCCTCATTTGGATTTATTTCCTCATCCCCCTCTTTTAGCACTCGAAGTTTGAGTTGTCCAAATGCATTCTTAAGATCTGCTGCTAATCGCTGCCATCTTCGGTTCTGAATCCTTGCTATCCAAAGTCTATAAATGCGGTAGAAGATGAAATATGCTAAGGTAGCAGTTGCAACAATCACAAAAGAGACCAAATAGTGATTCACCCAGATGGTGTGCTTTCTTCCCACCTCAACCATGGCCGTAACGATAACTCCCTTCTTAATCAAATGGAAAATCTCTGTGCCTTTTAAGTTACCAATCATAACCACAACAACATCTTCAAATGCCTGATGAAACATGGGGAACACCTGGTTGCCAGTTCCTGGAAAGTTATAGATGATCACTCCACTGGCTCCCTTCTCAGTTGCCACTTTAATTTTCTGTGTGAAGGTACAACCTCCACGTTCAATAAGGGCAAGCCAGGTCTCTGAGTACTTTGATCGGCTGAAAATGGTATTGGGATTACAAGCATGTTGGGTATTTCCCTCTGGTGGTACTATAATTCCTGCCACTCTCTTCAAAGTGGAGCTTCTTCCAAAGATTCCAGTCTCTCCCAACTTTGACAACACATGATTCCCAACATGAAATGATATGTTCATGTAAGCTGTCCAAACACTTGCTCTGCAACAGTTCTGACCAACAAGCCAAAGAACACTGAACTTTATAAGCCAGGAAGACACAGTGTTGTTTCTCCAAGTGCCAATCTTGAGTAGATGCATCTCTCTCTTCTCCTAGTGACTTAACAACCAACCCAACCAACAGTTCGACATCTGTTGACAATTAATTTAAAATAACAAAGAGAAAAAAATCTTCAGGATCCAAACAAGATCCACTGTCTTCCAGCATGTTTTTCTAAGAAATTCTTAAATATGGCTTAGGAGTTTCAGATGTCTTATTAGAGAGAGGAGAAAAACTTTAGATTGAAAAATAAATACCCTACTGTTAACTCTACATACTGCTTACTGTTGTGTGATGTGATTATGACACGCAAGATCAGGCAGCCAATTAGATAAGAGCTTAGAGCAAACTGTGAATTTATTAACTGAAATGCTGTTATGGGTGATTTCTATGTTGTATAAGATGGATATAATACTGAGCTACACATATCATAGTAGTGGGTAGCACACAAAACTAAAAATTAAATCTAAAATTCATAAAAAGGCATGCTCTTTAAAGCCTGAAAGCACATGTAAGAAGGCTACATACTTTCTTTTAATAGCAAGTGAAGGAGATATTGCCAATAAAGTGGCAAGCTAAAAAAAGAAAAAGAAAAAAAGAATAATGAAAAATTAGTGCTGTGACCAGGTGTGAGGCAAAGGGGTGAACTCAGTGACATTATTTTTATACCAAAAAGTAAAATCACAGTGCTAATTTTTGATTCATCACATAAACCCTTGTATTGCATTTATTTAATTTAAGCTTGCTGAGAAGTTTGTTGCTTTAATGTTTTGATATTTTAAAGTAGGGGATCCTGCTTATTTACTTCTGCCTCACTTTCTCCATCTTTCATTGACTATACAAATGGAGTATGTCTGATAGGAGTAAAGACAGGACTGACATCTAGGGAAGCTAATTTCTCTGCAGATCTTGACATCCGTTATTAATCAAACAATATTTTGAAAGAGGAAGAGAAAAGTGTGTCCAGGGAAAGACTAAATATAGTCATATTAGTTTGGCACAATTCATTTTTTAAAAACAGCTATTAAGAAAAACTTCAATGTGCACACTTAACCATTAGCAGCAATAAGTAGATCTCTTATCAAATATTTTTGCAGAACTCAACAAATCTCTATTGGAAGATTCTACACTCTGTCTGCTCTGCCTATGTTTTTGCTACAATCATGTCAGTGGCACAATATGACCTCAAAGCTAAAGGATAACGTGTGAACTCACAAGCATAGTGACAAGCAGCCACGCTGCTACTGGTACACTGTCTTGGGGGTGAATCTCAGTGCTGTGTTTTGTTTTGTTTTGTTTCCCACCAGCTAGGAAACCAAGGCCAAAGATTCTGACATTGAACATAAATGTCTCTGGCCTCCACGTGTAAAGTGCTAAAGGTCTTGACTGGATCTCACCAAGACTAATGGAGCTGCTACTTCTTATGAAATGTGAATCTACAACATGATAATTGGAGACAAGAAAGGGCCCTAGGAACCCAACTAAAACGAGTATGAAAAGAATACTGATATAAAACCTACCCACAATCGTTGATTTTCTCTCCCAAAGGCCATTAATACAGTTTTATTTCCATATGTCCCTGTATTTTTTAAAAGGTAGTACATGGTGTGCATACTCATGAAGTGCCACTGAGTTAGGCATCAAAGGTTTAGCATATTATCCAGAAAGAGAAAATTTCATCGATGCAACAATACTTAAATCTTTCTCTCATTGTTACACAGGTATTTATTCATCTACTAGAAAAAAAGGAAGATGCAAAATAAGGCAAAGAATATAACATGGAAAGGCAACTGAATAAAATTTTAGCTCTGCTCTATGTTATCAAAATGCCCCAGAGAAACATACATTACCATTTGGAGAGGAAAAACGAAGCATTTACTAAGGACACTTCTAGGAAAGAAATCTGCTACCATAGCTGAGTCACTACGGACTTAATGAGGACTTAAAGAGCTCTGGCAAACAAAGGTGAATGTTTGCAATGAGGCCTGTAATAATTTAGAACACGTTTCCTTACATAACCAAAGTACTATCATCTAAAATAATTATTTAGAACACATTACCAATCCAATGAGTAGCTTTGGAAACTAGATTTCCTGGGTATTAATAAAATTAATTAACCATGGAGAATCAGAGATATAAATTAGTAGATACCAAAATTAGTCAAAGTGTGAAACAAAGTACAAGAATTCGTATTAAAAAAGGAAACTTAAAATAGCATGGCTAATTCTCTATAGCAATGTCACAATCCAAGTAACCTAAGAAAAACATTGTTTTTAACATATACTAATGTTCTTATTTGGATAAGGGCAACAGTTAAAACTGATTAGAAAGACAAGAAGTACAAATAGCTGGGCATGATAGGGAGTTTTATTTTTGAAACACGAATTTCACACTTGTTGGTACTTGGGTAGAGAAGCTGAAATTTTCTCTCTTTATAAAGTACAATAAGAGAATTTAATCTTAATATTTGGAAAGATCTGGTTACATCTTCAGAAAATTCTCAGGATTTCTTAAATTTTCAGAATGTCACACTTGCACATGGGACATGTCCTATGGGCTAAAAGCCAGGGGTCAATGCATGCCTTATGGAAAAAATGTTTGCAAGTTAAAATGCGTACCACATCTTGGGGTTTGTATGTGTCAAAGCAAACAACACAACTGTCTTCATTTGGGTCTAATTCCTTATCCCCTTCTTTGAGAACTCGCAGTTGAAGCTGGCCAATAGCTTTCTTCACATCTGCCTTTATCCGTCTTTGCGTCCTGGTGGAAGAAATGGGCACTCTAGGTCTCCAGACACAATATAAGAAAAGGTAGGCAACTGTGGCAGCCAGGAAAGTAAACAGAGACATGACACAATGGCTCAGCCATGGCATGTGCATTCTCCCGACTTCAATGATGATTGTCACATAGACTCCTTTCTTAATCAAGCGCAAAAGTTCCATGCCTTTCAGGTTGCCTATCATCACCACGACTATATTTTCTGTCCCCTGGTGAGACATGGGAAACACTTTATTGCCCGTACCTGGATAGTTGTAGATGATCACCCCATTTGCTCCTTTCTCTGCTGCCACGTTGATTTTACGTGTAAAAGTACAGCCTCCTCGTTCAATGAGGGCCAGCCAAGAGTCTGCCTGTTCAGGCCTGCTGAAATTGGTCAAAGGATTACAAGCATTCTGATTCCATCCTTCAGGAAGTGCCACCGCACCAGACACCCTTTCCAGAGGAGAATGATTCCCGAACACTCCACTCTCTACTAATTCTGATATGATCTTATTTCCCACCTGAAATGTTATATTCAGGTGAGCTGTCCAAATGGCTTTTCCATTTGAGTCAGGAAGGCTAAGTAGTAGAAAGATACTAAGCCTCAAAAGTCCAGATGGAACAGAACTATGAGCCGAAGGAGTAATCCTAAGGAAGCTCATGCCTCCATTTGTCTATTAACAGACAAACACAAGAAAACAAAACAACAACAATTGTAAAAGAACATAAAGAAGACAGCTTGTTGGCAGTAGATTACTAACGCACATAAATGGAAAAGGTCTCCCTGGATAAAAGATATCTTGCTCCTTCCAGCATTATCATATTTGGTAGATTATCTTTCTCATAGTGAAAGAAAATAACAGGAGTTGTGATTGGTACCATGTGATTTCAAAAAAATTATGACATACTAATGGGGAAATTGTGACATCAGAGGTAGTTAAACCAATCCAAGTGTTTATAATAGTGTATTGCATCCTGAAATCTTATTGGCCAGAAAGCTAAGCAATGAGTCAGGATATATAACAATTTGAATAACCTGTAAAGCAAATAAATAAATTGGTAGGAATTTTTTAAAGGCTTGTAGTCAAGATACATAACAATTTGAATAAGCTGTAAAGCAATAAATAAATTGGTAGGAATTTTTTAAAGCCTTGGGTTTCTTCCTTCATTCTGAATAGACAAAGGAAATCTACCAAGTCATGCAAAAATTTTTTTCTAGCTGTAAGGCAATGGCAAAGATAAAAATAATTCATGTATTAGTGCATGTACCTGGGCCAGCTGCCAGTTTTTATGTATGGTTCAACACTACCCAATATACCATTCTGTGGGAAGCAGGAGCAAACCATTCCCACCTACTTTTTGCATTAAATGTCTATCCCACACCTAAAAATTCAACACAAAGAAAACAGAGTGTAAACTCAGATTGTTAGCCTGATACAGTCTCATCTTCTGCTGAGAACCTACTATGTTCTAGGCAAATACTGAAAGTGGAGCATATGTTGGAGAAGAAAATAGAAGTAGCCCTACTCTTGTAGAGGATTTTAGATGATGTCCTAAGGACAAGAGAAACACACTGTAGGGTTCTAATCCAGGGAGGTGACAAATGTGTTTCAAAATGTTCACTTTGGCTGCTTTATGGGGAAAATGTATTGGACAGAGAGAATAACATGAGATGAGCTTAGGCAAAAGAAGATAGTAGCTTGGACTTGAAGTAGCAGTATAGATGTAGAGACATAGACAAAGGCTGAATAACAGATTTAGTAACTGGAAGGATAGTACTGGAAAGAGGAAAGGATGGCCACAGTGATAACAAATCACTACATTATTTTTGCAAACTACAGAATCTTTACTGCTTTAAAGATGCCTTATTGTTTACATTTATTTTAAATCTTTATCTAAAGTCTGTTTCAGGGAGTCAATAAATTGACAACACCCACTCAAATATTATCTACCATGTATAGGACATCTTCTATGTGCACAGCAGGCCACAAGTCCTAGGGAAAGAAAAAGAAAAGACTCTATTTCCCAGTGTGCAAAATGGACATGAAGATTTAATCATAGACATGATAGAGTTTTCTCATTTCAACAAAAGCATTTATTATATTCCCTGACCCGTTGTATTTTACTTAATATTTGCTTTTTTTGGAAGAAAAAAAAAAACCTAGCAAACAGTCTATTTGTCCCATTGATACAATTCTATTAAAGCATGACTCAGTTCACATCTGAACTGTCCTTACAGGTAGACTTTTTTTTTCATGTTCAAATGGGTTGAATTCCTGGCCGATTCTATCAAGAGTGGCAAATTGAAGCCTCATTAAGAAGACAATTTAACATCATCATATTAGAGGCAATTTGTTAGATCTGTGATATTTAACCTTTGGAAGCGGAATTACAAAATAATGTAATTCTGACTTTTTTATTTTCCAGATTTTTTTGGGGGGTGAAGAGTTCAACTTGTAACTACATGTTGTTTTAAAACGTATCTCACATCAAAAGGTTCTCTGTATGGTTGAAGAGACTAATTTGAAGAACTTAGCTAATTCATTCTGTTTTTCTCATTATAAAATAAAGTGGTTAAAGCAATGATAGAACGGTCCTCTCCTTTGCCCCAGTCTTAGAACAAAATAAACCTATAAGAAACAATCATCTATCTCTAACAAAGTGGTTTTCAAGTTAGGAGCAATTTCTGGAGACGCTTTTTATTGTCACAATTAGAGAATGCTACTGGCATCTAGCAAGAATACACCAGGGTTGCTGTTAAAACTTCTTAAAATGCACACAGTATTCCCACGATATGAAATTATGAGGCCCAAAATATCAATAGTAAGGTGAAGAAACCCTGATCTAATGAAATAGCCTAAGGAGAGAAGAATCCCAAAACTCCTCCATCCCTGATGGATGGGTCGGGTATAAATTCTCGACACAGAATAAGCTTTTATAATTGGCAATATTGTCCTCAAGGATAATGTTCTCAATGCAACTCAATTTCCCCAGTTTTCCCTGGAATAGAAATAGCAGAGATCTGTACAAGTTACCTATTAGTTCATTAAGTATGATGTCAAATTGCATCTATATTATCAGAATGAGGTCTAAGAGTCTTCTTGGAGCAGCATGTGAATGGGGGAGGGGAGGGGGGAGGGAGAGAGAGAGAGTGAGAGAGAGAGACTTGATCACTGAGGTAAGTGTAAAAAAATCAGGTTTTTCACTATAAATTACAACTATATGTTTTCTTGCAAGAAAAAAATGTGTATTTTTATATATAAATATGTGCATTCTTATATATAAAAATGTTTTATATAAATAAAATATATATTTTTATATATGTATTATATATTTTATATATATTATATAATACACACACAAACACACACACACACACACATTTTTTTTTTCCAGAAAGTTACCAGACTTCTCTCCATGTCAGTTTGGCTAGAACTACTTCACAAACCCATGCCTAGTGGAATCCTTGGAAACTGGAGTGGAGTCAACATGACGGTCCCAGGTTAATCATGATTTATCCTGCTGTAGAGAGCTCTTTCCCTGGCTGAGCACATGGCCAGAGGAAGGGTGAAGATTTGAATGCTCTGTTACCAAGGGGAAAGACATGAACCAGAAGGTAAGTAGGCAGGTACAATGGCAATTACAGGCTCTGCATTCCTGAAGTACCCCCAAAGGAATAATACTTAACCATTAACCACAACAAACATGTAATATGCACTATACACAAGGCACTGACATGAGCCAGAGTCTATGTTAATAGGGACACAACATGGCTCTGACCTTAGGGAGGGCATTATCCAGGCAGAATTAAAGAGTTATATGCAAGTTACATGTATGTGTGTGTGCCGGGGGGCGGGGGGTGTATCCTATAACTTCCAGGTTCCAATTAAAATTCTGAGGAGGTTATAACTATTATTAAAGGAAAAAAATCAACTAACTGATCTCTATCCCTCTGCTATTCTTTGCTTTCTATGGGTAAGAATGCTCACACTCCCAGAAATCTCTACTCTGATAACAAAATAGATAAATACAATCACAGTGTACTGCTCAGACAGCATCTCTAACATGTAAGGAAAACCAATAAACTACCTCACGAGTGTCAGTATACAGGGCTGTGATATCATGAGAGAGGTCTAGGAATTTTCAAAACACTATTTTGCATTCAGGTTCAAAAATTATAACTATATATGTTTTTTGCAAGAAATTAAATGAATCATAATGAGATCTGAGGAAAACAGAATACTGACTCTAAAGTACTTCACTGAGAGCAACAAAAAAGCAGACAGTACTACTACTATTTTTTCTGAAAGCAGAATCTTTACTTTTACAATTTTTAAGGTTTTCTAATATGTGTGTATATATGTGTGTGTATGTGTACATATATATATATATATGTATGTATGTATATGTATATGTAAAATTTACAAGCATTCCCTTTAACAGCTAATGTATCAGTGGTTAAAAAACTTCATACTTTCATGTAACAAGCTAGTTTATATAAAAGGCATTTCTGGGTAGTAGCAACTATAATTCTAATTAATTCTAATTTGTATTTTTTTAAATAATTTGTGTATATTTAATGTGTACAACATGATGCTATAAGATACACATATATAGTACAATATTTGCTATAGTGGAACAAATAAGCATGTCTGTCATTTCATACAGTTATCCATCTGTCTTCCTGTTGTAAATGCAGCTGTAATCTACCCATTTAGCAAAAATCCTAATATAATTCCCTCTACAAAATTACCTATTCTATTAATCTTCTTGAGAGACAGGATTAAATCTTATTCTCGTCTTTTTAATACCCAGCTTCTAACATAGTATCTAGCACATCATAGGTTCTCAATAAAAGTTGAATTAAAATTATAGTGTCATTATCCTCTGTATTCTATCTGGTAATATTCCTTATGCAAAATTGTATCTACTTAGTTTTACTTCAAAAGGGTAATCATTTCAGTAGGAGTATAGAATAGTTAGAATATGCATAATGAGTTCAACTTATAATTATTCCATATACACACATAGAATATGTGTGTGTGTATGTATGTATGTTTATATGTATTCCTTGCTCTTATCATAAAACTTGATTCCTTAGCCATACATTAATACAAAGATAAATAAGCATTTGGAATATGACCAAATTCCTTTAAATTGTAACAGGCATAAATAAACATAAATTACATTATCTTCTTCATTCTGAATTCAAGTCATAGTCTACATAACTTTAACAATAAATTGAAAACAATATTTTCCTCATTCAGTCTACCAAGTTAGAAGACAGAATGGTAATAAACAGAGTAGAAACTCATTATTACTGCTCTGGGAAGTAATGGGGGGAAAATTCACATTGTAGTTTTTGCACTAGAAGGTAGAAGGAAGAGCTGAATATTCTTAAACACAAGATTAAGGACAATATTTGGCATTAGTATAATTATTATCTTTGTTTGAGCCTGGAACAAAATATATCTTAATATTAACTAAACCATTTAGACTGGATTTTTTTTTGAAGTGGTGGTGAACAGGCAATATATTCAAAAGAGGAAAAAATTCACCCAAACAGAATCCTTTAAATTACCACCAGCAACTGTCCTATTCATGTAACAATTTATTCTGCCCCTCTCATGATTAAGATCCAGTGACGAGGACCAAATGGGTTTGGAGGCTGCTTCTGGGACTCCATCATTTCAAAGTTGTCCTAAAGCTTAAAACAGACTCTAAATCTTCCTAAGCCACTATCAGCCATTGAAGGTTTGCATAAGCTTTGCTTTGCTAAAACAAGACCTATAATGGTTAACTCTGAGTAAGTCTGTGGTTAACTCTGAGTTCCTAGCAGTCAGAAATAACAGGGAAAATGTGATTAAGGAGAT